GCTGATGAATTTCTTTATTTGCGCGTTCGTTTGCGTCTTGGCGCTTTACACCTCCGCACTCGACAGTTGCAGCTGTGTCACTAAGTCGATTTGTTATTGGGTTTTCAGAATTTTCACACTTGTGCCACCACACACCAGTTGCGCTTTAGTATTTTATTTCTCCCTTTTTACTTTTTTTTTTTTCTTATTTAAGTATTTATTTACCTTTTTTGCACTTTCCCACTTGTTGCTCTTGCCTTCTGTTTTTCTATTTAATTAACGTCGTTTGAGCGTTAAACCTCCTAGCGCTCGGCAACCCTTTGCGGCGCTTTGCTTTTTGCACTGACGCAAACTTTAAACGTGTTATCTCTATTCGCTAATTCGATAATTTTTCGCTTCTATTTTCAATACCTGGGTGTCTTTTTGTTGGCGTTGTTGTTGTTGCTCTTTTATGGCTTGTGTACAAGGCTTATTGCTGCGCGTTTTTGCCTTATTTGTTGATTCTCAATATTTTTCTTTATTTGCTTAGTAATATTTACATATATTCCATAATTTCCATATTTGTTTTTTGTCTTTCTCGTTTCACTTGCCGCACCCCGCCTCGCCGCCGCTTCGTTATTTTGCACTTTGTACTATCTTGGTTATTTTTGCCTTCAAAGTATTAATTTAGTTATTTAAGCTCGCGCTTGTGTGCCGTATTTACATTTGTCATTTAATGTCATTGATTACTCGTAATCAGCAAAAATACATACACATAGCTACACTCCCCTTTTTCAATTTCTTTATGGAATTTAAAATTATTGATTACGGTATTTTTTGTAACACATTTCCGCAAACCCGAAACTGTACTGTAGTACTCGGTATTTATGCGAACGCTTTATTGCTTTTATAGTCTTGACTTTATTTTAATTATTTGCTTATTATTTTATTCCGTTTCCCCTTTCGCGTACTCTCTGTCGCCGCCCCGTCGGTTTAAGTACGTTGGCGCGTTCAAGCGATCTTCAATGCTGTCTCAGTTCGACGACGATGTTTCCGTAGATTCCAGTGTTTTCTTCTAAACGTCTACCAATGTACTGTTTATTGTTTGCGGCTGTTGCTGTTGCTGTGACCGCGACCGCCACCGCAAAACCGCATTGGAGACGTAACGATCGGACAGCCAACCAGTCGAAATCATTACCATACCAATATATGTATGTATGTTTGTATGTACATATGTACGTACGTGAGCGTGTTGTTTGAGACGTGAGACGAGCGCACGATCGGCTGAGCGACCAAACCCAACCGCTTTGTTGATCCAAATCGCTCCAGCTTTGAGCGCAGCTCAATCGCTTGCCGTACAGGTCCGCGTCCTATACTCCGTTTGTGCTTTTGTTGCTATTGCTGACA